AGGTCAATACTCTTAAAGACAGCGAAGCAAGGACTTGCCTCTCACTGCATAGGTGAGTATTAGAAGTCTTCTTTTGCAGTCACTTTAACCCATTTTAATGGAAGACATGTTGTTCCTCTTTTTCCCCATGCATTACCATTTCCATTGTGGAGTATATGGATAAGAACTATGACCCAGTAACTCAAATGTCCCCTAATTAAGTGCTTACGTGTCCAAGATACTAGTTTTGCTGTCATTAATTCAGCCATTATTTATTCCTGGAGAGTGCTCATCACTATGCAGGATACTAAGCTAACAATCATTCTCTAATGAAACTGTCCTGTGTCGTATATTAATGCTGGGTAACCAAAGTGCACAGCACTTGTGATAAAGAGAGCAGCAACCAAGGCCAAAGGCAATGCTGGCTTTAAGTGCCTATAAGGCTGATAACATTGAATGGCCAGATTGAGTTCTAAGACCAGATGTTTCTTCTTCTCTACTCCTGCCGGAAACCTGAGCACATAGGAAGTTGGGAAAAAGCTCCTATGTGTGTTCAAAGATAGCAATTAAAACCTAATAGAGGTTCTAACTAGGGATGAACCTATACCAGTTTTTCGGTATCTAGTACGAGTACCGATATTTTTTTTTCCAGTACTTGCTGATACTGAGTAGCGGTGCATTGTGCCCTGATTATCAGGAAGTCGGGCGGCGGATCATGACCCTAATTGCCTGTGAAGCCAGTGTTCTAGCGAAGTAACACCAGCTTCAGAGGCTGTCTGGCTTCCTGACCAATCAGGAAGCCGGGTGGGAAGTAATGAGGTGCCATCCAGCTTGCTGATTGGTCAGCTTAGCAACATGTGAAGCCGGTTTCCTAGCCAATCAGGAAGCCGAGCAGCACGTCAGGACCTGCCTCGTGGCTTCCTGATTGGCTAAGAAGCCATCTTTACTTGTTCCTAGATAGCCTGGCTTCCTGACCAATCAGGAAGCCAGGAGGCGGGTCATTACGTGTCGGCTGGCTTCCTGATTAGTTAGGAAGCCAGGCTGCTTAGCAACACGTGAAGCCGGCTTCCTAGCCAATCATAACCAACCACCCTGCTTCCTGATTGGAAAGGAAGCCGGCTCCATGCTCCCTCAGCACTGCCGATCAGAGGGAAATGTCCCTCTGACTGGAAGTTCTGGTATCAGAGGTAAGTATCGGAGCATTTGGGCGAGTAGGAGTACTCGCCCAAATACTCGGTATCGGCACCGATACTAGTATTGGTATCGGTGCATCCCTAGTTCTAACCCTTCCTCATTCTACCCAAAACAAAGAAAGAAGTTCTAGCTGGAGCTGGAATATGAAGAGGACCTATGCCTTGGAAGTAATTAAATAGGGTACCCCCTCATTGAGAAGGCTCCAATTACAGGTTCCACTTTCTGGTAAATCACACTATTGTGGGGCAACCACAAACTACAGTAGCTCTGTATGATGATGACCACTGTATTTCAATATAATCCCAAGGAAGATTGGTAGTAGTATTGAGTTTCAACTATTGTTTACTATACAAGTAGACAATTGTAGTAAGGAGGAGTCTATGAAGGGTTTACACATTCCTAAAAACTGCTCTTTACAAAGAAAGAATCCCGACAAAGAATCGAATGTTATGAATTCTAAATTAAATTACTCTTTCAGGTAGGCAGGGCAATACTTGAAATGTACACCATTCAGCTTCAGGCAGTAGAATAGGGAAACCTTTTGTTCTTTATGATGTTCTACATAAGAACACTGTAGTAATGATATCCTCCTATTAAGGGCTATTGTCCTCCTCACGTTCCTTTATTTGTGCAATCATGAATACAACTTCCCAGAGGAAAATAGTTTAAAAATAGCTTATATTGTTTAACTGGTTTCAGGCGTACACCACCAAATAAATCCTTTCAGAGAAATGACGTGCAAATCTTGTTTTTTTAAAACTACGTATCATATGACATGCAGTCATGTATCCTTACCTAATACAGTATATGATTATTGAAACAAAATCTGTAATATTGCAAGATTTCCTTTACAGGGTTTTTGCAGTTCCAAAGAGTCCCTGTCACCATCAGGGCAAGTAAAAAAACGACCCTTGCGGTGGGGCTACCTCTGCACTGCAAGGGTTAAGTGTTGATTTGTGCCTATGGTCAGGAAAAAGCTATTTTACTTGCCTAATCCCTGTTCCCGTGGCCCCCCTAGAGTTGCTAGACCGGTCCCCACAACTTCTCCTCTCCTTTGCTCAAGATGGCCTCAAGAGCTACTGCACCAACCAGAATGTAGGGGGATTAGAGTAGAGCCCTGACCACAGGAGTAGCAGTGATCAAGTAAGCAAAAGTGCTTTGCTCTGGTCCCCTAGGCATAATCGAGCATTTAACCCTTACAGTGCTGGGGTAGTCCCATTGCAAGGGTAGTTTTTTGGTTTGCCTAAAGATGGGCTTTGGAGCAGAACTCTGGGTAAAACTTTTATTAACCCTGCAGTGGGGCTAACCCCGCACCGCAAGGGTTAACTGCTGATTTTCATCTAGGTGCTAAAATAAAAAAAAGTTATGCTCATCTGAACCTCGGAGCCGGTAGGCTGTCACAGCACTCCCTCCAGCCTGTCTTCTCCTATACTCCAGTGACGGTATGTCGCTCGGCTTCTTCACGTCCTATACACAGTGTATTGGATGTGATGACTCCAGGATCCTGAAGGTGACCATACGCTGCGAATTTCAGACGGTCCTTGAAGAAATGGCTTAAATTTGCACAGTGGTTGCCACTGTCAGCACCTTGTGGCAGGCATCCATCGATCAGCTGATCAAAGGAACCGGTCGGAAAATCTTCATACGAACAGAGCCGGAAGCCAATGAGCTGCTGGCTCTGTTCGGGTATTCTGACTGTGGCCGGGGGCTGCTGTCGGAGTAAAAAAGAAACAGCGTGGATTCCTTGATTAACACGCCTGTAGCATTGATGGAGGAATCTGCTCTGCTATTTTTTTCATTTAGCTTGAGGGTTGAACAAGAAAAAAAAATAGAGCAGTGTATGGCCAGCTTTAGACTGATGCAGCAGAGGGGGGGCAAGGCGGGAAGGTCCAGTCTAAGAGCAAGCCGGCTCCTCAGTTCAGTTGAGAATAACTTTTTTTATTTTAGCACCTAGATGAAAGCGAGCACTTAATTCTTGCAGAGCGAAGGTAGCCCCACTGCAAAGGTTAAGAATACATTTGCATGGAGCTTTGCTTTAACTCCCCATAGTAGAAATGGTTACATTTCTTTGCTAATTCCCTCCAGTGTTCTCTAGAATTGTTACATTGTATCTCTTGTTACTAAGGGGTCTATTCACTAAGCTGCCGAAGGATCTAGCCGTAGCTTCGGCTGATCCTTCTGCCCCAGGACCCCTTCGGTTCAGTGGAACCGAAGGGCTGCTGTACGGGCTATTCACCATAGCCCGTACAGCTCCCGAAGTTGGCTGAGCGGCTCAGTCGAGCCGAAGGCATATGCCACGGCTGGACTGAGCCGCGGTGAAAGCCGAAGCTGGCCGAATGGCCGGCCGACAGCCTGCTTTTGACAGCTGGGCGGAGCCAGCCGCCATCTCACGGCTGGCTCCGGACACTTTCAGGGAGATCAGCGTCCTTGGTTAACAGCTAACCACGGACGTTGTCATTACACACTTAGAGCAGCCTCTCCGTGTTCTCAGGGTGTAATGTCAGATAGCGTTCCTGATTACATGGTAACCAGGAACGCCATCTGTCATTACTCTCCCGGACGCTCTGGGAGCGTTCGGCTCACTTCGCTTAGGGTCGGTTAGTCACTCGGCTGCCTACGGCAGCTTAGTGAATAGACCCCTAAGATGTATTCTCAAAGTTATAGGCATGACTCCAAGAGACAGATGCATGATGGAATTTGTAGTTTTACCACAGCTGCGGGGTTGGAGTTTGCCCACCCCTGCATTACAGGCTGTCTGCAGAAAAATACAGGAGGGGGCAGATACAAGACCAGTCACCCTGCACAAGGATAGAGAGCAGCAGTGACTGGTCTTTATTACAGGAAGCTCCAGCACAGAGGCAAAGTGCAGGCGTTGTTCCTGCGCAGATCTGGAAGAAATAAACAAAAGACGCCGAGATTTAAGCACAATTTTAGGTTTAGGCACAAAAACTGTAATAATATTCCTCAACAGTCACAAAGGATATAAATCAATTTTGTGTGCAACAAATGCCTTTGCAAACCCTGAGATCACCTTGTAAAAGTAGCAGTGACATCATCACCACTGTACATAACCTGTGCAGAGAGCAGAGCTGTGGGAGGGATCTAGCAGGCTCCACCCACTACAGGCTATCTGCAGGTAACGACAGGAGGGGGTGGATACAAGACCAGTCACCCTGCACAGGGAGGGAGTCCAGCAGTGACTGGTCTTTATTACAGGAAGCTCCTGTAGAGACGTTTCACACTGGATGGTGCCCTTTGAAGAAATGTTCAAAGGGCACCAAGATTCACATAAGAATACACATGCCCCTTGTATTTAGACCATGTTTGCTCATCATCTGACTCTTGTATGTGAATAATATTTGCCATGCCCGAAGTTCAGCTTTTACTTATTATTGACATTTCAGGGCCATATTCTGTTGAGTGTTTTGGGTAGACTTTACCAGCAAATACAATGACAGCTTACATGTGGTTGTTGTGACACAACTATTCCGGCGCCGTGCCCTTTAACTTTATAGAACCTGTGACAAGCCTTGCTAGAAAAATGATCCCGGGTCTCCAGGCTAAGGCAGGGTGTGGAATGGATAACAAAAGGCTGCGCTCTCCGAAGAAAAAAGACCAGTTCCGTCACAAGTTGTCACACTTGTGTGTGCGGCGGAGAGACAGCCGGCTACAGCTGACTATAGACGTGCACTGACTGGCGCCCGGTGCACACTGGAGCGCTGCCGGCTAAGCAGGCGGGGTCATGTGACCGACCCCGGGGGACTGGACTCTGAGCGGAATGACAACAGCGCTGTGCCTGGTGTGCGCTGGACAGGAGGGAGGCACATCGGTGTGCGCTGAGCTGATCGGGATCCTGGAGCTGTGAGTATGATACTGGTGGTGTCACCTCTTATTACTAAATCACAGCTGCCTTCTCCTTCCTTTACATGTACTCACACGAAGTAATAATGATGGCATTCCGATAGGCTGCTTGTCAACTACAAAAATCATTTTCACATTGCTCCTGAAACTGTCAGCCTCTGATCATGGTACTGCTTTGGAGTACCATGTAGCACAAGAAATTCAGCTTTTTGGTGTTTTTTTTTTAATCTGCACCTCCACAGCGGCATCACTGGGAGGGTATGGACCGTATCCAGGTGACACCTGCCAGGGGGTGACACCAGTGCACCACCAGGTCCCACTCTGCTTCCAGAGCCTGGGGAGATGGGATTATTTTATCGGCATGGCAAATGACTTCAGGATGGAGAGCGAGTAGCAGACCGAACAACGCTCATTCTCCGATCTGCTCTGTGTGATCAGAGACAGAAGCATTGTACACACATCGCTTCCTGTCAGGGGCGTCCCAAGGCCGGGTACCCGGTGACACCTCACCATGATGTCATCACGCACATTCCCAATTATGTCATGGTCCGCCATCTTGGTAATACCTGCCGGGGCTAACTTGGTGATGGACACTGGCAGAGAGAGGAGGGAACGTTCCCCCCGGCGCGATTAGGTATGCCGCCGGGTCCCTTCTTCTCTTGTGCAACTGTCAGGCTCTCGGTCCATGACCGAGTGCTTGACTTTTCAGAGGGGTTGACACCAAAACGACTGTCAGTCATTTTGGCGTCACCCCTTTAATGGTGTCACCTAGGTGCGGGACGCACCCCCATAGTGACACCACTGCTTCCTGTCTCAGCTGCCACAAGCCGGGCTGCACAGGAGATCAAGCACAATTCTGTGCATTGGAACGCAGGGGAGACATATTGTTTTCTTAAGCTGGCCATGCGCCTCACAATTATCATTCCATTTTTTTTGTCCTGTCATCGAACCCCTGTTTAAGTTCTTCTCGAATACCTCATCATGCACAGACCAATGTAGATTTTGATTATCGTTCGTTAGCAATACTAACTGTACAAATTTTGTCAATCGACAGAACGGATTTTCATTTGCGCATGTGCAGTGTTCATGTTGCGATTTTGTTCTGACAAAAACACCACTAATCCCGCGATTTTAGTACAACTTGAAAAAAGTTTTCTAGCCTGCCTGATAGATGAAATTTGGCCAGTTGAAAAGTAATTGTGATCGTTTACTTCCCACCAACTGGCCGATTATCATACAAAAACCGTATGTATGGGCGCTTTAACTGAATTATTTTTTTTTGGGGGGGTGACACCATGAGTTACCACACCGGGTGACACTAACCCTAGTGATGTTTCTGCACCTCTATGGTATGTGTCCATGTGTCCGAGCTCATTGTGGCATTCAGATCTGTAATCCAGAGCACAGCTCAAGATCGTAAAAAAAAAAACCTTTGGAGAGGAGCGTACTGACGTAGTTTAAGTGCGTGTACGGGTGTACGAGCGTAAAGTCACGCTAATGGCTGTAATAAATTCATATTCTAGCTGCTAGAATGCATTTACGCGTGTCCATTTCTGAAATGCTGTATGAAGATAAACGCGAGTACTTTATGCGTCATTACACACGTTTTTCATGCTAGATATTTCTGGCAGCAAGATTCAGCATAGAAATTATGATTTAATTACCCCTTGGTGCTTGAGCCCTCGCCCTCCAGGGAACTTCACAATACTGGAATGCAAAAGACATTTTCCACTGAAATACCAACTTAGAAAAACTACCCTAAAAGCCACAGCAGTGTGACTAAAGGGGTCTCTTTAATGTTTTTGAAACCCAAGATTTACACAAGATTCGATCAGAAAATGGGTGAATATTGGGTGACAGTTTTGCGATACTTGGGGGAAAATTTTCAGTGCGACTCTTGGGGACGCGCTGCTCAATAGCCCTCGTACAGTAACCATTTATCAATGTTCTCATCAAAGATTTATACATTTTTCTAGCTGAATCTTCGGTGAAAACACTGATGAATAAATCCTTATGAAGCAATGTAAACACTTAGGATCGATTCTTTTTTTTGTGGTGTTGGCTAATATTCTAAATCTTTAACAGGGTTATTCACAAAAGGGTGAAGAGTTTGGAGAAGGCAGGAGAAGTGAACAATCTAGGACAACATAGCTGAACCAGAACGTGAGCTGAATTGGAGAATTTTTCCAAATAAGCTACGCTGTCCTAGATTGTTCACTTCTCCTGCCTTCTCCAAACTCTTCACCCTTTTGTGAATAACCCTGTAAGTCTTTAAACTAGAGTTGACCCCAAAATTCAGATGACATTAGATTTAGACTGAATTTCATGAATTTGGGTGCCCTGATTTAAATTAGAGATTTCATGTTGTTTTGGCCAGTTCAGATTCCCATATGGCTTGTGGAGAAAGGGACAAAAGGCTGTCTCTGGCTTATATCTGTTTCTGCTGTTGCCTGGCACCTTGACTTTGACTTCCAGTGCCACCACGTTCCACCCGGGTGCTATCCCTGGTAGAATTAGGCTGGTAGTAAGTGGCTCGGGCTCTTTTTTTGGCCCCATCATCTCATCAGGCATTATTTTTATACAGCAGGGGCAGCCAAACCTTGGCTTTCCAACTATTGTGGAACTACAAGTCCCATAAGATATTGTGGGACCCTGACAGCCACAGGCAGAACTTGCAGAGGCAGATGCATGATGGGATTTGCAGCTTCACCGCAGCTGGAGGTCCGAAGTTTGACTAACCCTGTTATGCAGCATTTATATAGCACCAACAGTTTGCAGAATGCTTTACAACATAAAGGGAAACAGAACAGTTAAAATACAGTTCAAGACAAGAGGGTTAGGAGAGCCCTGCTGAGCCATGAGAACTTACAATCTAAAAAGGAGGACAGGTGATATAAACATGTAATAACTGTTTGGGGATACGTTGGTGGAGAAAGAAAAAGTTCAGTGTTTAGGTAGAGGTGGGATAGGCTTCTCTGAACAGATGAGTTTTCAGGGATGGCTTGGGAGGGGGACAGAGTAGGAGATAGCCAGACAGGTTGGGGTAGTGAGTTTTAGGGCTCCGGAGAAGAACTGGACGCAGTGACAAGGGAGCGAGAGAGCTGGAGGTCTTGGGAGGAGTAAAGAGATTGTTTGGCTGATTTGTTTGAGATGAGGTTGGTGATGTAGCAGGGTGCAGAGTTGTGTATGGCTTTGTTAGTTAGTATTTTGAATTTTTTTCTTTGGGCAATCTGCATGGCTGATAGGATCTTCTCAAACCATTTGGTACAATTATTCATCATTTGTTGCTATGTAATACACATACTCTTCAATGGATTCCCATTTAATCAATAAAAAACCCAGTTTGGAAATTGCAAATTTTCCAAAATTTCAGCTGAGCCAAAACTGATCAAACTTCTTAGAAGTTCACTCGTCTGTATTTAAAACCTTGGACATTTAGATTTGGCTGGTAGCCATGTATAAAGGGACTATGCCATAAGGGAAGGTACCTGTGTGTAACTAAGCTAGTATCCTCTTGATGGTAGATGCTGCTCTCAGATTCTCATACACCATACTGGTTGGGCAATATTACTGTAAAGCTGACTTTTGTTTTCACTGCCTAGAGCTATCAAATGGCATTGCAGGAAGAGAATTGCTTACATACGCCACTGGGCATAATTATAGCCATACTAGGCCATATGTCTGCTATGGGGCCCATATCTGTCTTACTTGGTGATTTATGCAGGTAGCAATAACAGTTAGCAGCACTTAGATAAGCCTTCATTTTATGTGGGATCAATTAGTTTAGTGTATCACTATTGAAATTGCCTTCTGGATGGAGATAAGAGAAAAAGCGGATCCCTTTGGGGACAAAGAAACGTCTCCACTGTTGTGCATTTTGTCACTAAACGCATTAACACAATGCATGTTAAAACACATCACATGCATTGTGATGCCATTCATTTTGAATGGCACCCCAACATAATAAGGCAACACAGCTCCACTGCACATGTGTTGCAGCACAACACAACACATGATAAGGCACTAGCATTCGTTGTAGTGTGCTGTGTTACAAGAATGGTGCAGGCCTGTTTTCTTGGGTGTTTTAATGCATCGCCTGCAAGTTCAATATGTCAAAAATGCATTAATACAATGCACCAGGATCCCAAGGTTTGAAGGGTTCTTTAGGGGGTTACTCATGAAGGAGCCGAAGGATATAGCCGTAGCTTCGGCTCACTTCGGCCTCCAGAGCCCTTCAGTTTAGCCACAACCGAAGCAAAATGTAAACAAATAAAAAACAAACAAAAGGATGGCGTGGTGTCCCCCAGGTTTAAGAGAATTCCTTTAATAAAGAAATAAAAACCCCAAAAATAGATCCACCTAATCCAAAGGTTGATCACAATGTTCACCCCACTGACCCGTCCACACCCGATGAACTGCCGCTGCAGAATGAAAATTTGACAGATACCGATACAATGTCAACAACTAGGCGGAGCTAGCCGTGACTTCACCGATGGCTCTGCCTATGTGTTAACATTGTGAGGCAACTAAAAGAAAAAGAAACTCACAATTTTACTGCCTTGAAGAAGGGACCCTTTGCGGCCCTGAAACGTCGGCTCTGTTGATTGTAGTGACACAATTGTCCATTAAAAAAGGACATATTTATTCTAAACGAGTGCTGGTGACCTGTTTCTTTTACTTCGTATTTTGCACGGTGCCATCCGTGATAGTCATTGCGAGCACCACCGTTCTTATTTGGCCAGGACTGCTGTAAGGTGTGCGGAGAGGACCCCCACCACCTGAAAAATTGTGAGGCAACTGTCTTTTCAGGTCCTGGCCGAATGAAAACAATGGGTAGAGTCGGCCCTGATGTCATGGCCGGCTCCGCCCATTTGTTGTCATTCAATGACAGGCTACTGACCATGTGTTTTCATTTTGCCGAGACTTACCATAGCGATTTGACAGGTGCGGCCAAATGCCAACAGATAGGCGGAGCCGCTAGCTTCGCCTATCTGTTGACA